CCATCATCATCATCATCATCATCATCATCATCATCATCATCATCATCATCATCATCATCATCATCATTATCATTACCGACGTAACAGTTCTCCTTTCCCTTGTTTTCTTTCTCTAGAAAACATAACAATTTGCACCCTGTCAATACATTCTTACGTAACCAACAAATATGGGCACCAAAATCAGGACACGCGACAAAAAAAGCCACCACCACGGTTCACACAGTCCATGTAATACTACCATACACAACTGGAAAATGTCAAGGTTGACTGCAATCGGCTGATGGAAGTAGGGGTGACTCAGGAAGCCGTGGCACGACACTTTGGCGTGTCTAGACAGACCATATGGGTTTTCATCGCTGGCAGAGCAGGTACTGAAAACTAGGTCAAACTGCCTGCATCGGCCTTTACATCAAATTCATTAAATACATTTACTACTATACCGGGGAAGTTATACATGTTTGTAAAGGTTATTGTTTCTGCTTTCATGTGTACCAATTTGTTTTTAATAAAGCGTCGTATTAAAAAAAAATTCCCGATAGATAATAAGGTGCCCTGCCGAACCGAGTCGGCCCCGCGCGCGGAACAGATTTTTGGTCAGAGGTTGAAACGGTGCCCTTGGTTCAAGGGGGTTTTCTCAAATAGAGCGATTTCATTGGTCAGTTTCAATGACACAGTTCGAAAGAGCGTTGGCGTCACGTGATTTTGCACTTTCCTGCGTTTCAGTTTCGATCGGCCGAGTAGTTTTGAAATGACGACGACTTGAATTACAAAAGTGGTGTTTTCTTCGAGAATTTCGTCATATTGTGGATTGCAGGTAAGATATATTGTTAATTTGACCAATTTTCTTTCTGAAACGATTCATTGTTTTATTTTGTGTTATGAACAAATCCACGAAAATTGATATTTTGTTAAGCATGCTTCCAACATGAGAGCTCAGCTGATGCGATCCCCCAAATAAGGGGCGCGTAACTCTCGACCATTTTATTCTTGAGCATGTAAACAATGTTGCGAAGCCATAACCTGCAGTTGCTACGATGGGCATTCGCAAAGGAATTGAATGGATTTCGGCTCCATATAGATCTACTTAAATTATAATGGATCTGAGTCAAAGCTATTTCATCTTTATTTTATATTGTAAATGAATAGCCAAACTCCAAATTGTTTATCAATCTCGCCTTTGCCTTGACGCAACCACATAATTCCGTACACACTCAGCTGATCCAGACTCCATCTCTAGCTCTAGATCTTCTGTAGATCTGGGCTGTTGAGAGGCTAACTAACAAGATATTCTAGTAGTACTAGATATCTATACTTTAGATTTCACCTTATACTACAATACTCTACAAAAGGCATGCATAGTGGCCATAGCCCGCCATGCCTGGGTCTAAGTCTAGCCTAAATAAATTTATTGTGGTATGAGATTCTAAGGGAGGCAGGACTCTTTGCGCGAAGACCAGTCCGACGTAACATGTTGACCGCACACCACGTGGCAGCAGAACATCTCCAGTGGTGCCAGCACAGAGTGACGTGTGGCAGGTACAGGGATGAGATCCTGCGACCTCGTGTTGTTCCATGTATACCTGAACGCTAATGGTGGCATTTTGCGGTAGGGAAACACTCGTCCGCATGTTGCATGGGTATGTGAGGACTTCCTGAGAGCTAACAGCATTCCAACTCTACCATGGCCTGCCCGTTCACTAGATTTGTCTCAAATCGAATACTAATGGGACGAGTTGGATCGACAGGTGTGGCAGAAGAATCCGCCACCCCAGACACTTCCAGAGCTCCCTGTGGCACCCCAGAATCAGTGGCAGACCATCCCGCAACATATTATTGCAAACTTGAGTGCATCCACGGGCTCCCGATGCCGAGCAGTGATCAAAACAAATGGTGCTTATATCAGGCACGGACTTTTCGTGTACCCCCATCTGTTTACAAGTTTGAGCCGGACATTCGGTTTGTTCAACAAGGTTAACATTTAGAACATGTGTATTACCTACCAGATCACTGCATTATTGTGTTCTTTTGATTGTGTTCACTTTATTAAAAAATTCACTTTTAAAAGTGAGTGTCAGATTGGGCTAAGAAGTCGAGACTAAAAATTCCACTTTGTTTCAGGCGGCCGTTGAATATTTCGGTGACATAGGCGTCTGAAAACGTCGATGCGTTTTGTAAAGTGGGCAAAAAATGTCGGAAAGCCTGCAGCGTTAGCAAAAAATATACAGCAGTCTGATAAGCCAGAACAGAACAAGGTTCAGCTGATGCGTCTAGCAATGAACAAAGACAGCGTTAGGGGAAAACTGGCGCATCTGAGTTTGTCAACCAGAGACCCTCCTATTTACTACAGCTGACGAGTCGTAGGTTTGGGCGATCAGCTTCTTCTCGATGCGAAATGGTTTTTCAAGCTTCTTTTAGGGTTGAAACGAGTTTTGTCTTAGGCTTAATAAACACGTTAGAATAACCGCTCTACCCCCTTTCCGTCCTTAATTTTCATGTACCTCAGAATGATCACAAACTGTGACAAATGACCTGCATCAGTTGCTTCGTCAGTCTGGACAGAAAGAAATTTGCCTCTATTCTGTTCTACATGTTAGATTTTGAAAATACAGCCCGGCAGTTCGCGTTATATTATTTTGGCAGTATATTCTACAACAGCAGCGCATTGCAGATGATCTAACAGTATTCCGTCAGCATCAACGTCTCTGTGCAGTAAATCAAGAAGGATACCTCTGTTCCCCGACAAATCACCTTTTTCATGACCGTGAATTCTACAGAACAAAATACACTCGATAACCTTACACAATGCGGGCCTGTTCTTTCTCACCTATTCGTTATAGTGAGACTTTGCAATGCGATGACCAACGTCTATCTGCGCTGATATGTCTACTAATCCAATAGTGTGAAACTTAAAAGCCTTGCTGAGGTTCGCTCTTGATGACTCGTGTCTTTAATGTTTTGTTTCACATGGACAATCAGGAAAACCTATGTTAGACCAGTTGACGTCCTCAGTTCCAAAAAGCAGACAGTAGAAACAGTACAATGAGTGTTTGCAAACTCTGACCGTAAGCTACTCCACTGTTTCGAAAAGATCAGTATTAAAAACACGACTACACCTTTTTGTCGGTTGTATTATTTTGCTGATGTACCTTTATATCTTTGAGTTGGTGAGGACCTAATTCTTTCACTCTCTTCTTGTCACTTTATTTAGAGAACTGAATTTATTTGCAATCAACTTCATTCATCCTACATTGGAATTACACACTCAAGTAATAAAACTTTCACCACAGCACCATTCCGAGTAAGGCCACTCTAGTCTTCGAATTCAGTGACCTAATTACGTCATGTTGACCTCACTCAAGTTCAGGTTTACAGAGGTGTGGCTAGAGATATAAATGGCAAGAAAATGGATCAATCGTTCTTCACTCTGAATACTCTGAGCACTCCGGTGGATTGCTCCGAAGCTATCATAATACGGGCATTGAATTGTGTAAGCTATCGTAGACTGGTCTGAGATCGCGTTATTTTTAGACTGCCTCTGTGGGCTTTGTTCGGTTAGTGCACATTGAGATTGTGCCGCCTCATTAATACTTATTATTTTATGTACTACGAAACTCGCTCTAAACGTCATCGTTGTTTGGGTCAGCCCATAGAACATTTTTCGAGTTAGATTACAATCACTGAACAATATGCTATTTATTACTTGGGTGAATCACGAGAACTTGATATGGTATAAAAGATGTTGTAGAGTGATGCAGATACTCTAATGACCGATTGTATTGTGAGGAGGAATTTGTATGGAAAATGGATTGGATAGTGGATGTTAAAGGTTCTTTTATTGTCTCTATGTGGGTGTTGTGCGCA